ATACATATATATGTATATTAACTTGTAAAATTATAATAAATAGTAAATGTCCATTTCTAGAAATGTTTTTCATTATAATTATAATTAATAATCTCAAATGTTTAATAATATGACGGTAAGAAAGCATATCTACCCTTCTTAAATGTAAAAAAGATTCTCTTTAAAGAGAATTCCTTTCTTAAACTAAGAAGATTCCTATATCTGCCATAAGTATATAAATAAAAGAATATTTATATATTTCCACACTCAATGTTAGACTACAAAATAATATATTTCATTGTCACGAGCAATGTTTTAATATTAATAACATGGCATTCAAAGTATTTAACACGATCGACGATTTTTTATGTTAAAGTTCTACTTTTTAATATAGGGATTATGGGCCGATTACTCGCAGAAGCACTTTGAGGGTTAATCTCATAGAAAATGTAGATCTTAACAAAAAAAGAGATGAACATAATGAATGTCATAAGAATTAAAATGCGCTATTAAATATATGAAGTCACCACCTTCTGCAAATAACTATTTATTAGTAAAGTTAAAAAATATAATGTTTGGAAGAAACCTGACAGCTCTTTGAGATTTGACGTCACATATTTTTAAACGTGCATATATGTATAACCTGGTATATAATGCATTAATATTTTTTTTGAAAAAGTCATAAATTTCCAAAAATACAAGAGACCCCATCAAAGCACCCACACTATTCGCTCCTTTCTGCAGGAGCCACCACTCGGCCAACTGCATTCCAATGGACAAAGGAGATTCCAACTCACAATCAGTAGGTACATAACTTCCATGGGCCTAAAATACCCCCACCACGGAAATACAAGGGCTAGATTTCGTTTCATTTTTCCACCAAAATGTAGTAGTCCTCCGATTCTATCACAGTAAAGAGTCCACTGCATTGCTAACTCACTGTATTCCATTGCACTACCAAATCTACATTGTACTTCATTGCGCTATTAATTCGCTGTATTCTATCGCATTGTTTAGAGAATAGGAAATTATTGATATTGCACCGTACGGAGAATAAGAGAGTATAATTAATATAGGTAAGTAAAATTGGTTACTTTTTATAATTTATTCAGACGGTAGAACACTAATGCGCTCATCCCCAGTAAGCCTGGTGAATATAGGGTGATTGAAAAACAGGGAGCTAAGTTGCATTTATAATATTAATACCTACAATTTTTAGTGACTTACAGGAAACCGGGGCTCGTTGTCACAAGAGGCATTGCGTTGCGTTTATATATTTATGGCGAAAAAATAATACAAAAGTTATCGTAAAATATCTCTTTTATAACACAGACACTTTTCTCAAATTTTTATTTAAATCAAATAAGTATTAGATAGAAAAAGAAAAAATCTGATTCACGAGGTGTCAAGTAAATTTTCAAGCATTGAAATATTTTGCATTTAATGTCCTCCAACTTTAGAAGTAAATCTAAATAACGTTATTATTAGTTAAAAGTAAAGTTTCAGCTACTATACGATATATTATTTTGAATCACAACATTAATTTGTTATAATAAAATGACTGAGATCAATCATATATAGAGATGAGGTACGTTGGCAAGTTTGCCCTGATAGCACATAACTGCAACATAACTGAGACTTGTTGTGCTATCAGGGTAGCGTCACTTGCGTCACTTGCTGTTACTGCGCGCATGAGTCGTATATAAATACTGTGAATTATTGAATAACAGAAACAAAGAAATTGTAGGTAACCTTCTATCTTGAATACACCTCTTTAACATGTAACTAGTCGATTATTATAACGGATACGACCATTAATGACTTTTTTACTTCATCAAGTAGAACATATCTTTTATTTGTTTTTTATTTCTATTACGTTTTTATTAATTTGACATATAGCAAATTCGGTTGCTTGCACTAGTGCGTACCGAGTGCACACCAAGGCCAGTTTACAGTCAATTTTTGTACTTAACTTTGTCTTAAATGCACGTTCAAAGCGATTTAGCCAGAAAACAATCCGTATGGATGCTATACAGATCGTTTTACTGGCTACGAAATATTTCAAGAATATTTAAGACGCTTCGGAAATATAAGAATTGACTGTAAACAAGCCTTAGTGCGCACTCAGTGCGCACCAGTGCAAGCAACCGAATTCGCTAATAGACTTAATTGTATAGCCAACTTACACCATAATTTATACAATTTACCGCACTATCGGGGTAAGCTGGCTATAACCATGCAGCGTGTTCGTATTTTTCTTACTGCAAAGAAACTATACAGAATTATTTTTGGCATGAAAATGCAGAGAAAGGTTCTATCTATCATATTAGTATAGTTTAATTATGATAATTAGTTGTTTAAACAGTCAAATGTCAAAATTGTGAAAACTATGCCAACGAGCCCCGGTCTTCCTTACAGATTCCTGAAACGCAGTGATTTACAGATTCCTATGATTTTATAACTCAGTCGTAACACAAAAATATATAAATTGCACTTATTCGTTTCATCTTTCGGTCAACAGATTTACAAAAATGCATACGTTAGGTTGTCTTGTATTTATGGCTGTGATATACACCATTCAAGGTAAGAATTTTTATAAACATTATACTATAATAAAGACATAGAGTTAGATAAATATAGAAAAAAGGAAAGAGAAAAACAACGCGTGTCTTTATGACAATATATGTCTAAACACTATAAACAATTTAGTATATGTATACATTTTTAATATTAACATACTTATTTCCGGGGAAATAGTTGTATAAAATACAATACATTAGATTTAAGTAAATTTCAAAGAACTTTAGTCGCGAATTAAATAATTATGTAAACGAATATAGAAGGATATATACTTCTTTTCGCCTTTAACAGGAGGGAGAAGGGTGTTCAGTTATAAATATCTAAGCAAATATCTCGAAAACAATTCGTAGAAAAAAGATATAATAAAAAATAGCAATTTGCATTTAACAATATAAAGTTGACCTTGATCTTACTTTGGCGACACAATCATAGATTAAACTGATAAGGTTGGTAAATAAATCCGCTTAAAACCTACAATTTTTGTATGTAACAATTTTCTCAAATGCCTTGTTTTCGAGATATTTACCCGGACATTTATAACCAAACACCCTATATACATATTATGTACAAATAGGTGTATTTTAATGTTAAATATTAATGTGATTTTAACAGTAAAATTTTTGTTAAAAGATTTTTATTTTAAATAAATCTTAAACTGACTCGAAAAATTCACGTAGCAGTAAGATAGATATCGATATTTAATTGTTATTATTAAAAATGTATAGTAAAGTATTAGACATTTGGCGCACATATAAATATAATTAATTAATTTTCGTCAGGAGGTTCGTCTCCTCAAGTCGGCAAATTTCCATATCACGCTCTAATAAGACATAACGCTACAAATCACTTATGCAGCGGATCTATCATCAATAAGTTTAACGTGTTAACTTCAGCATTGTGTGTCTGTGGGTACGTTAAATATTTTAAATATATGTATATCTTTATGTTATTATTTAATTTTTTAACATGTCAAATAGCCTACTATGTAAAACTGAGTATATACTATGTATGCTTTTTTTATTATTAGGTGGGATGATTCTAGACCGTTAAAGATCCATGTCGGAACAAACTCTTTGAACGTATCGGGAGATGTTTATGACGTAGAGAATGTTGTTGTCCACGAAAATTATAGTCATTCACATACGGGCATCGCTTTAGGAAATCTTAAAACTGTATATAACGACATCGATTTAGGATCTTTTAAACCTTTATTTAACGACATTGCTTTAGTACATCTTAAAACTCCTATCAAATACAACACGCTAGTGCAACCGATAAATCTTATGACAAGCGATAAAGATATTGCGTTTATATCGTGCACATTATCCGGATTTGGAAGGGCAACGGTAAAATTAAATTCGTAATATTCAACAATTTTCTAGTCACATATCTGAATATGAGACTATGAGACACTCTTAGAAGAACTTATTATTTTTCCTTGATACGTATATTATATAGAAATTAGAAATAATTATGATAAAACGATTTAATAATTATTTACTCTTCGTTATTTACTTCAATGCTCTTTTGCTCTAATTTGTATTTATTCTTTTTAGTATGGCAATATTACTTCGAATAATTTGAAAGAAATTGAGTTAGATGTTGGTTTGCAAGAAATGTGCAGAAAAATATATCCGATAGTCACAAATGCCCATATGTGTACTCTACGTGAACCAGAAAGGAAATTCTGTAAGGTAAGCCGTCAGTTATTAATTATAAAACAAGGTAATACATATCTATTTTTTTTAATTAATAAATACACGTATAATATATTGGCACAATATTTTTGGCAACACCAAGAAGAATATTAATTTTATAAAAAATTATATTAAAGGATATACATATATTAAAGGAATCTAATATTGTATGGTAACAGTTTTATCTTAACTTCGAAATCATTATAGGACGAATTTGCAATAATAAGCAGTCCATTGTTATTTATAATATTAGTACTTTATTATTAAGCAAACCAGTTAATGGTTTTTTTTGCGAATTTTATTGCGAAAAATTTTCTGTGTTAAAAACACATAGCCAGTCATGGTCGATTAACTACTTTGATTAATCATGTTGATTTATCTGCTAGTGTCAAATGATTCTTAATGTTAGTACTTTATTATTAATAATCCCAGCTTTATTTCAGCATTATATCGGTGGACCTATAGTGGCCGATAAAACTCAAATTGGAATCGCATCTACATCTTTCTGCGAAAAAGACAATATTTACGACGTTGTCACAAGAGTATCCAGTTTTATACCATGGATCTCTACGAATTTAAAGAATCCACTGGATGAACCACCAAAGAAACTTCGTAAATATTATAATGTTACCAATGTTACTGAACATGGTAATCCTGACATTACCCATGATAACGATGACGATGATGTTAGTGGTGATGATAGCAGTGATGACGATGACAGGGATTATGATGGCAGTGGTGATTGGTAACTTTATATAAAATCAATTACATATGTGGCTGTTCCTACTAGAGCTGAAATTTTTCTCCGAAGATTTTCAATTTCAAAGCTTCGAGTCGTCGAAGATTCGAAGCTTCGTAGAAATTATTCGAGAATTGAAGTTTTCGAATTTTTCGAAGATTCGAAGTTTCGAAGTTTCGAATATTCGAAGTCAACTAATGTATTAACAGGATAAAAAACAATAACACATTTTGCAAAATTAATCGTTTTTACTATAACTGTGAACTAATTAAATTCCAACTAATTAATATCATTACAAGTATAAAAAAACAAATGTTCTTTTTGTCGGACACATTTTGTCCATTCGCTCATAAAAATATAATTAATTCGAAGGAAATAAATTTTCTATCATTAACATTTTATCTTATTAACTATTTCTTTTTACTGCCTGATACAGATGATAGATACAGATGATAAATTAAGTTGGTCTTTGAAAGCTTATATCTTAAATTGAAGGGTGAATAAATCGACACCACTGGCAACAGGAAAACCTCCTTTATTCGCACGTTTCGGCCATGGGTTTTGGCCGAAACGTTGTGCGAATAAAGGAGGTTTTCCTGTTGCCAGTGGTGTCGATTTATTCACCCTTCAATTTAATATTTGCTGGCGGATCAATATTATAGTTTTTAACTTATATCTTAATGCATTAGTTGACTTCGAATATTCGAAACTTCGAAACTTCGAAACTTCGAAAATTCGATATTCGAAGTTTCTTCGTTTCTTCGGATACTTCGAAGCTTCGAAGTTGCGAAGCTTCGAATAATTAAGACCACTAGTTCCTACTGTATATCATTTTTTATTAATGTGCAAACGAAAAATTAAGTTGTAAAGGCAAATTTATCAATCAATTGCAAACTAAAATTTATCGATTAAAAGACTATGTGAATCGAATTGAACTAAAATTTTATTCGATAGAAACAGATCGAACTTGTATAAAGGCCCTCCACCACCCCCGCTGCGTTTAATCGACGATCCTATTTTCTTTACAATTTCGTTTCTTGCAGTTTTATTATTTATCTCATTTTTCTTATGACTTACTTTACAATGCATATAATATCTGTATTTCTCTCGCCGTTACATATGAAATATTCTGCCTAAGCGTAAAATAACACGAACTTCATTTTAGGTACTTATTACATTAAAGTTATTGTTACTTTGTTAATTTATTTAATCTTTCAAACAGTCGAATTATGTCCCTTTTCCCTGTCTATCCGAATCCCTACCTACCCGTATTCCGATCTATAGACCTACCTATCCGTGTTTCAACATAATAAACCTACAAATCTTTAATTAAGGGGTTCGACTTGGAATTTAACTCGCCCGCGAGATATATTTAATAGTGGTTGTCACTCTTGCACGTGTGCGAGAATGTATGTATATAGAAGCATAACCCACCCGAATTGCAACAAATGAAAAGAAATCAATAGTTTCTCCTTCTATTATATAATACTGAATAATTTAAGATAGAAGAAACAAAATTTCTACCAGTTCTAATCAAATAATATTATTCGTTTAATAAAAAATGTTGTTGGCTTACCGACCCGATGCGCAGCAGCGGAGTTGAACTACGTTGGTTCTGAAACATAGAATTAAAAAGTTCACATTAAAACAGAGAATTTAAGAAAACCTGTTAACAGCAGGTTTTCAACGTTGAAATTCAATTACAAATCTTTTTTCGCGACGATTACACGATCTAACAATAAATTTCCCACTAAACAGATTTCACTTTCAAGAGCAACAAATTCACAGTGGAACCAATAGACGATGCTTGTTAATTTAACAGAAATCTCGCTATCTCATATTAGGAACTTGTCTCGTAATAAGGGACATACGTATAAATCGTTCGGCGGGTTCTCATGCGAATAATTCGAACGGGCGAGTTGAGTAAACGGAACGACGAGGTAAAACATTCCGCGAAATGAACGTTAACGCGAGACTAGTGCACAAACAATTGTACTCACCATAGAGTTGCTCCGCCGTTGCCTGATGCCGCCTGGGCCGCCGCCTCCTCTCAGACTCCTTCATTTTGCACCGGCACAACACGACACTCGCGAAAGAGGACCTAATTCACTAAGGCCTGTTACACAATACGTCGTATGTCGCTGTCGGATGTCGGGACGTGGTCGATGGGTCCAATAAGAAAATTCCTTTTCAAAAAATAAATTTTCTCATTGGACCATCGACCACGTCCCGACATCCGACAGCGACATACGACGTATTGTGTAACAGGCCTAAGTAATGCACGACACGGCAGTCCCGGCACTAATCGACGCGGACGTCACGCAACGAGAACGAGAGACAATCGCGCGCGAAACGACGGGAACGTTCCGGCGGGAAGGACTCGCGGAGGCTAAAGCCTCGTCACATAGAAATCGTAAGTCGTAGTCGTAAGAATAGTATGTATCATCGACTATGATTGGTCAATTCTTATGTGCCTGACGAAATTGACCAATCGCAGTCGATCATTCTTACGACTACGACTCTGCGACTCGCATTGTAGACCGCGCACAACTTGACGCGCGTCGCGGAAAAGGGAACCGAATGCGTGCGTTCGACGGGGCGATTTCGCGCGGACGCTCCTCTCGCCGCGCATCGCGCGTGGAAAACTCGGATATCACTGCACGCGCGAGAATACACGGACTAAAATGAGAAAACTCGGTGCACTTCTGACGAGGATACGACGGCGCCTTAGCGACGCCGACCGCGCGCGACATTTCGGCCGGGATTCCTCAGATATACGCGTCTCGGAGGATTGCCGTCGCGCGAGGATCGAGTCTACGTCGCGCGATTGTTAAACTGGACGATGGTGAACTCACTGCGTTCGTGCGTATTCGAAAACTCGGCGCACTTCTGACGTCCGAAGATACGACGGCGCCTTAGCGACGCCGACCGCGCGCGACATTTCGGCCGGGATTTCTCAGATATACGCGTCTCGGAGGATAGCCGACGCGCGAGGATCGAGTCTATGTCGCGCGATTGTTAAACTGGACGATGGTCAACTCACTGCGTGCGTGCGTATTAGAAAACTGGACGCACTTCTGGCGCCCGAGGTTACGACGGCGCCTTAGCGACGCCGACCGCGCGTAAGATTTCGGCCAGGATCTCCCAGATATACGCGCCTCGGAGGATTACCGACGCGCGAGGGTCGAGTCTACGTCGCGCGATTGTTAAAGTGGACGATGGTAAACTTACTGCGTTCGTGCGTACCGTGAAACGCGACGACTATCGCACGAGACCGATTCACTTGCGTGTCCACGGCACTTCTCGAATGGTCGACATGGCGTCGTTCCCGGCGGGCACTGCGCGGCGCTGCTACAGCGGTACTACACGGGTCACATCAACCACGCGATGTCTCTCGAATAGCGAAATAGCGAACTTCTTCCGAGGCACGAAAACGACGTCTCGCGGCACTTGCAAAATCGGAAAATGATCGCGCACATCGCCCCGTGGCGTACGTGCCGGCGGCACGAACGATACTGCGAAGCACGAAACGACCTCTGACCGCGCGGCGGCCGCCGGCGGCGCGGCGGCTCGACATAAACAATCACCGAGCGGCGCGCGGGTTTAAAAAACATAAAAACCATTTTGACGAATATACGTTAATAACTCTCATACAAAGCGATCGCGTTGCGCAAAAAATGATTGAGATTTTCGTAGGAAATAAACGCGTTACGAGGGGCGACGCGAAGACACGGAAAATCCGCCTCGCTCGACTGATCCGCGCCGAATAATTCGGCTCGATAGACCGTTTTCGGCCGAGGTGTTCGCGGCGCTACGTCATTTCTCGGAACCGGTGCTCGGCGACCGAGTTGTTTACGACGCTCGGCGAAACAAAGTCAGGCAGGATCATTTACGCGGCGACAATCGAACGAGTTAGTGGCCCGCGCCGCTCCGCGCATCGTATTACATATATTATTCTTTCTTGATACGCGTTCGCGGCAAGTGCGGGAAGAACCACGACGCGAACCGTGACGCCTGTGACGTGCTCAGTGGCAACGCACCCTAAGTGATGTGGAAACAATTCGTATATACACGATTGATATTTTTTTCGCCAGTGAAAAATTACAAACAATATTATTTGACTAGAAATGGCTGAAATCTTATTTCTTACTTCTTAAATTATTCAATATTATAGAAGGAAAACTACCGATAGAATTTTACCTGCTCTTTCGACGGGAGTAACGAAATTTCAGCTAACTTCCGAATTAATAAATATTTTAATAATTAAAACTCAAATTGGAATCGTGTCTATATCTTTCTGCCAAAAAGGCCTTCCAGTCGTTGTCACAAGAGTATCCATGGTACCATGGATCGCTACAAATTTAAAGAATCCACCGGAGGGAGCAGTAATGAAAATTCGTAATTGTGATGATGACGGTGGGTGATCTTGACTGTAGTAATCTTGACGGTGCTGACAATGACTTCAAATAGAATCAAAACGCACACCACGAATGATATCATCCTTTCTTTAGAGAAATAATCGGATTGATATGGTTGATCAATTAAAATCTCACGCGCCCATAACCGCGTTTTTACTTAGTGCCTTTGCTTTTGTGTTTTGAATTTACGTATTTTCGTCTATAATAATAACGTAACTAAAATACAATAGATTTGGAAATTTTTTTTTTATTGTAAAGGTTTATTCTGTGAGCCTATACGTAGAAATGAAGTAAGTTCTTTTGTAAAGAAAACTACGAAAACTATGTATCGTATTTCAAATTGCTAAATTGTATTCTTTTAATTCACCACAAGTTTCATCAAACTACAAAATTGCTTATAGTGGCAAAACTGCGAACACTGGCAAATACTTAAAATGCACCTATTATTATACAATTCAATAAAAATATTATATAAACACATGCTTGCTTAACAATGCGTTTGCCATTATTATAGTTTGTAAATATCAATGTCGCAAATATTTAATGGTGTATTTTTATAATTTACGTATGCTTGCTATCGGTTCGCTTCGATAAACCTGAATACCAAGTGATGATTTTAATCTTCGATACAGGATATAAATTGAAGATAGCATGTCCAACGTAGCACAGTGCTTATCGCTATGAATACTATCGCTGGTCTCTTAGTCGCGTGTCTGGCGCTCACCGTTTACGGTAAGTTATATTTACCATAATTACAATAGTATGGTCATTAATCTGCTTATCGCGCGTTTGAATGAATCTCAACAAATGTTGATACCAAACTGTATTTTTGACCCCTTCTTTCTAACTTACTATTTTGCGCAAGTGCCGATATCGTGATGATTATGTAACAAATTTAGCATTTACCTTTTAAGTAATAGCAAGTCCGGTATGTTTTATACTACAAAAAATTTTACTAGAAACATCTCGTTTAATATTATATTTATCACTTTCTTGGAATAGGACGAAGATAACCGGTTCACGTTTTTTTTTTCATAGCCAAATCTAAGCTGATACTTTTAGCGACAGAAAAGTAAAAATTCTTTTGATCGACAGGTTTGCCAGGTCCGCAAATTACCGGTGGTACCGATGCTCGGAATGGCGCGTATCCTTATCAGGTGTCATTGAGAACTAACGATCTAGATCCTTTTTCCCATTTTTGTGGTGGGGCCATCATCAGTGAACATTACGTTATTACCAGTGCCCAATGTATCTATCCGTACGTACACTCTTATTCTGCCCAAGTGTTTTCAATTATGTCTTCTTCGAACAATCGTATACAATATAATATAAGTAAAAATATAAGTAAAATAAATGTAAGTAAAATAAATATAAGTAAAAATTTTGATGGAATTACATGAATTAAGAATATTGCTCAATAAATATGATGAGAATCAACAGTGATGTCACAAATCTTCAACGCTTAACGTGTTTGTGACAGAATGCGCGCTCTGTTCTTGCGTTTTGATCTTATCACAATGACAGTTATCTGAAGTAGCGTAGACAATGGCAGCCGAAGAGAGGACTGGTGCTTTTCAAATTGTCAGAAAAAAGCTGTGAAAAAATTTTGCGCAAAATTAAAAATAAATGATTAAGAATTATTCGCTTCTAATTCAAGAAGCGTTCTTCCTATTCTATTCAAATAATTCATAAAATCCAAGTGATGAAATGGTTTCATAGCGCAGTGTTGTCGATCCATGTAATTTTGTATATACGCAATTTCGATTTTGTAAAAACGAAAATTAAATAAGTTGTTAATTGCAAAGAAAATTAAGTAAGTTGTTAATTGTATTATTTTACGTGCAAACTAACGTGATATTAGCTTCACATCTAAAATCTTACGTTTAAAAGATACAACGCAATAACTTAAAAATATTTGAGTAACGAAGATTTTTTTAATAATTTCGTGACCTGCAGTTTATTCAGTTTATATTAATAATATACATTTATTTTTAAGCATTTATATCGCATAGCTTGAATTTTATATCAGATTATAAATATTAAACAATTATCATTTATATAAACCATTAGGTACCTGAAGAATCCTACTGGTGTTTATGTTGCTTTTGGAAGCATTTATCTTGATGGAAATTTTGAAGCCAATATATCAATATATCACCCGATGAATTTGATCGTACACGCTGGTTATAACAACAAGCTACGTGTTCATGACATTGGTTTAATCGAACTATTCGATCCCATCGAATTTAACGAAGATGTTCAACCGATTGCCTTGCCAACTGCAGATCGCAATTTCGATGGTTATCCTCTCTTAGCTACTGGCTGGGGACGTCTCCAGGTAAGTACTTTACATTTTATATTTCTTTAAAGCTGTTATATAAATTCTTCAAAATTTTTTTAATTCCTTCATCATTTGAAATAAAATTCGAAAAAGATATAAATTCTTTTACGATCAAGATCTTTTATGATCAAGATCAAAATGCACGAACAGAGCGCGCATTCTGTCACAAACACGTTAGACGTTGGAGATTTGTGACGTCACTATCGAAAACTATTTTACAAAAAACATTAATATACCTAGTAATACATTTTTTCAATTTACAGCTAACTTAAGAAGCATGTATCAATGTCTTGGAAATGTATATTTGGAAGAGCATTAAAAATTCGCAACTTGCTTTAAAAGTTTTATATCTTATTAGTCTTATTAGTTTTATTCTTTGTAAATAAAAATTATATTAAAATCTATAAAAAAGCTAAAGAGATAGATAAGTATATGATGATTTTAATAGGAAGAAAGCAGTAAATACATATAAAGTTATAAGAATAATACATATAAATGTGATTTTTACATACTGTACACTTCTTTCTACATTCATTCTATGACTAACAGCTACACATTTAAATACTAATAAAATGATTAAAGAAGGCTACAGAAAATATGAAAATAATGCTATGTAGAAATTATAACATTCCTGACATATTCTGACATAAATTTTATAGAATAAAGTTTCTTTATTATATAAATAAACAATCTTTTTAGTGGGGCGGTCCAATTCCTAATCGCTTGCAAGAAATTATGTTGAAAGGCTATCCCCAAGAGTTATGCAGCAGGTACGAATACATCAAAGAGACCCACATATGTACCTACATAATGGAAGATAAAGGAATTTGTGACGTAAGTAATCTTGGAATAAACAACGTATCTAGGCCATTATAACATGAAGAAAAAGACAAGGTCCATAAAAAAACAACACAATTACTATCGTTTTATCTGTGAAACTGTGATTAATACAGAAGATCGATAATAGAAGTTTTTATCGTTTCAATATCTTTCCTAAGAACTTATAATCAGTAGCGCTTTTGATAAATGTTATTATGTTTTTCTTATTAAAGCAGAAAGTTTAAATGTCACGCGCTTTTATCAACAAAAATTTGCTATAACACAGCGTTATTGAGTTCAGACAAGTTATATATAATATAAATAAAAAGTTCTGATAAGTATAAAGCAATATTAAATGATATGAAATTATTCAATAGGGCGACGAGGGTGGTCCAGTTGTTGATAACAATGTTTTGGTTGGTGTGATGTCGTTCAGTCATGGGTCATGCGGTACAGGTGCTCTTGATGTATCCACCAGAGTATTTTCCTATCGAGAGTGGATTAGGTACTACACAGGACTCTAATACTCTATTAGAGTACACCCTACATCTATCGAATGCTACTCTGAAATTACTGATGATATACTCTTTTAAAACGTGAAGACAAAAATCAACGCCTAGGAACTTTTGTTCACCACAGTGTATTGTTAAATTTTATGCATTTGTTTACATGAATATTTTAAAATTTTCTTAATGTATAAAAATTATACGTTTGCCTATTTGTATAAGACTGGATTATCTCTAATAAAAAATTAACAAAACTGATTGTAAGACTGTAAAGGTAAAAATGAGATACACATATATAATTAATTGAAAAGTAGATTATGTATGTAATTTTAATTTATTATAAATAATGATAAAAAGATATAAAATTATTTCTATCTCAGTACAATTTTGATTTTAACTGCAAGTTTAACTGCAACTTTGATCTTAATGTCTTTGCTATCGTCAAAACTGCATTAATAATTGATGTATATATTGACGTATAGTTGATGTATATTCTCAAAATTAAACGAATATTATTATGTCTCCCTTGATATCCTATTTTTGTCTGAAACATTTATGTACAAAATCAGCATTTATGAAGGTATCCTTAGAAAGCAATTTTGTTTTTTAATGACTCACCCTGTATAATCTGGATGAGAACGTTATCATTTAAAAAGACTTATCTCTCCTACGAAGATACGCAGAGTACGTATGTTTAATGAATCACAGTTACAATATAGTGCATAACCACACGCAATAGTTTTAAAATTCAACGGAAAGTGAACAAATACTGTTACCTGGTTACCAACCGATTCTATGTCATTACCGTGAATCATTTGTAGATATAGTAATTTAGAGGTACATGTATTAAAGAAATTATGTTACTCTCCACCTATTTACTATCGTTACGAAGATGACGTGTTCATGGCTGCTCGAAACGCGTTGATTAGTGACATCCTTTCTGAATTTACATATCATAACAGATTAAATTTTACAATTGAACTTGAATCAAATAGATCCATTAGTTTCTTGGACTTGCATTTAACAGCTTCAAATTAATTGGTTCCACAAAAAGACTTTCTCAGGCAGATATTTGTCGTATTTTTCCAATCACTCAATGTGCCATAAAATAAGCACTGTCCTACCGAAATGTTCGCACATTGTATAGATGTTAATTTGAAATATTAAACATTATTGTTTTGTCACCTTCAACAGCTTATATATTATTAGCCTTTCTCTATGTATTTGTTATTAAAACGAGCTATCCTATTATTTTTAATATTGTAAGTGCCTAGCAGTTAAGCTTAATTTTAACACGTAATCGTCCACACGCGATCCTATCAATGTAACGAAGAGAAATATCGGGACGCGTTAACTGATTTCGATCGATGGCGTAGAACGTTCTATATGTATTAATCCAAAGAATCTTTAATGTCAAAATATCCATCGCCAAGAACGTTGTCTATGGTCTCGTAATAGCGTGCCTGGTACTCGGCGTCCACAGTAAGTATACTCACGTAAAAAGCTCTCATTAAACAAGACAAAATGCCTGTGTAACAACACCAATGCTTATTGTAAATTCGCATGTTACAGATTTCGACCATATATTATACGTTTCGAGTTGATTATAAAAGTTGTACCTCTGTGCATATTACACGGAAAAAAAAATGTAGCTGCATATGGACAGCTAATA